TGCCATAGTGTACTCAAGCATATAGTACACGTCTCATGGCATTTCCAGAAGTGAATTTTGGCTTAATTCATCATCATTTAATAATCCAAATATGTTACTTTTGGTCATATTTGTATAATAAAGATATAAGCCATGGCCAAGGAGTCATGCATCAAGTTGGGTATTATCTTATAAGGATAAAATAAATACTGGAACCATCCTTGTTCTGTGGCAGTTCACAGTCTGGCCTGAGAGCAGTAGAGTTCCTCATAACCAGTGTGCCTATCCATGTTACGCAGGAGACAGGTGATGTGCTGAGTGGAAGGCTTCAGGCAGGTCTGCCACAGCCTGAGCATAGAATGGTCCTGTATCAGGAGGGAAACTTTGTCCATGTGTGTTCAGGTCATATGATGTCATCCCCACACGAAGCCCAACAGCAGTACCGTGTGTGCGTGTGTGTGTGTGCACACATGTGTGTGCACTGCTCTGGCCTCTTGAGCCCTCCAAGCAACCAGTTGGATGCATCTCTTCTGAGCAAGCGATCACAGCCCTTCTGCACCCAAGGCTCTTGTGCATCCATGCAGGTGGGAGATTCCAACAGCTTGAGTATGATAGCTGGCCAGTTTGATGGCATGATGCAATGTATGTGGCTACTAGATGCTACCCTCTCCCCCCTGAGTGCTCTCCTCTGTCCAGGGCACACAGTTCTGTACACCTCTTGGGTTAAGGCCTGCCACCCTGATTACAGCTGTTTTTAGAGCAGAGAATGTGATTTTTTTCCTGCATCGGAGAAAGTGGTTACCATAAAGGAAGAATTCTGTCAGGAGAGGGGCTACTTTAGAAACTGGAGGGTATGCCAGTGAGGATCTGCTGTTGGGAACCAAACCTTCATGTCTATAGGATGAAAATTTAACAGTAAATTCATTAGACTAAAATAAAAGAAAAAAATTAGAGAGGAACATGTTTTCAAAAAATGGTATAACATTCTTAAGTAAATAACACATGCAGGGTTGGGCAGTAACCAAAATCTTATGCCCTGTGCATTATCAGCATAAAAATACAGAAATTGAACTACCAATCGGCCCATCCATATAGTGATTATGTTTGTGTCTACTTACTGACCCATTCATATATATTTAACTCTGTTCTAATTATTACTTTTGATTACCTCCTCTTAACTGCTCTCTATGATGAGTCCTTTTGTTAATAAAACTATAGAGATAAGGAAGTTAAACAGATAGATGCTTTATATTATGTCTAAGAGGAAATTGTACATAGACCAAGATGCTATCATTTGAACAGAACAGGAGGATACTATGTGGTTGAAAATCAGGAAAAATGTACATCAGGATTGTATCCTTTCACCATATTTATTCAATCTGTACACTGAGCAATAATGTGAGAAGTTGGACAATATGAAGAAGAATGTGGCATCAGGATTGGAGAAAAATTCATTAACAACCTGCTATATGTAGATGACACAAACTTGCTTGCTGAAAGTGAAGATGACCTAAAGCACTTACTGAAAAAGATCAAAGACTAGCACTTGCAGTATGGATTACACTTCAACATGAAGAAAAAGGAAATCCTCACACCTGGACCAATAAGCAGCATTATGATAAATGAAGAAAAGATTGAAGTTGTCAATTATTTAATATTACTTGGATCCACAATTAACACCAATGGAAGCAGTGGTGAAGAAATAAGACACTGTATTTTACTGGGCAAATCTGTTGCAAAAGACCACCTTAAAGTGTTGAAGAACAAAGAGGTCACTTTGAAGACCAAGGTGCACCTAACTCAAGTCATGATAGTTTCGGTCACCTCATATGCATGGGAAAGCTGGACAATGAATAAGGAAGACCAAAGAAAAGTTGATGCTTTGAGTTGTGGTGTTGGTAAATAATATTGAAAGTACTAGGGACTGCCAGAAGAACTAACAAATCTGTCCTGGGTGAAGTGCACCCAGAATGCTCTTTGGAAGTGAAAATGACCAGACTTTGTTTCACCTACTTTGGTTTTATTTTCAGAAGGGACCATTCCCTGGAGGATATCATGCTTGGTAAAGTAGAGAGTCAGTGAAAAAGGGGGAAAACCTCGATGAGATGGATTAACACAGGAGGGAACACTGCAAGAAAAAAAAAAATGCATTGACCCATGTCACTTTAGTTTTGTGTATTTCACTGTGCATAAATTGCATTTCAATAAAATGTATTAAAAAATGATAGATTGACACAGTGGCTGCAACGATAGGCTCAGGTATAGCAAGGATTGTGAGGCTGGCACAGGACCAGGCAGTGCTTTGTTCTGCTGTACATAGAGTTGCTATATACCTGATTTGAGGGCACCTAATATCAGCAACAACGTCTGGTTGGAGGGGTGCTATCAAACTCCACACTCCTCTTATCTGCAGTTCTTCTTTGGTAACGAAGATGTACGCCACTTTCTGATAGATGTTAGGATCCTCTGGCACATTTCCTTCTAGTCTTTTCCCCTTTCATAGCATTAATCAATTCCTATCACTCATTCTAAGTCTTGAAGGTTTGAGAGGAAAAAAAAGTTACCTTTGGGGAGAGTCTACCATGAGACATCAAAAGGAAACGTTAACTTGCACATCAAAGTTATTTATTTGTTTGTTTGGAGCCATCTCTAGGCTTGCAGAAATGATATGCAACCCATTTCTAGGGCAGTTGGGACCCATAAAGTCTCACTGCAACTAAATATAACCAGAGAATTAGAATAATACTCTCATGATTTTTAATGTGAGCTATATCTTCCCATGAACTGGTATAGTCTAATCTTCTATGAAGTATAACCCATTCTCCAGGATTAAACTTTCTCATCAGGAAAGTGCATAGGTGATTTAACTCAGTGATAAAATACAGAATAAATTAAGCTATTGACTGGGCAAGTTTTCAGAGAGGCAAAAATTACTCCCTCAGAGATTATGTGAATATATCCAAAGAACATATGCACACCAATGTAGAAGAACACAGAAGGAATGAAAATGAGACCATATGGCAACACAATGAGTTCTTAATCAGCTTGCTATTAGTGAAAGGCAAGCTCTTCCCTTTGCCAGAGAAATAGCAATTTGCTATCATAGACTAGGAGCTCTGGTAGCGTAGTGCCTAAGACACTTGACTGCTGACCAGAATGCTGGTGGTTCAACACCACCAGCTACTCCTCCGAAGGAAGATTGGGCAATCTACTGCCACAGTGATAGTGCCTCGGAAACCCAAGGAGGGGTCGCTATGAATCGGTCTGACTCCACGGCACATAACAACAACAACAATATCATAGATTACTGAAAAATAAGATAGAATTTAATTTATTCCTAATGACTGAGTAAAATAATGATACTGAAGCATCAATAGAGCCACAGCAACAAGAAATATGATAACACCACCTCAATCCTCAGTTATACAACCTTGACCAAAAAGTATCATTTACAACCACTATATTTATTTATTTATGAGCATGGTTTTTGATATTCGAATTTCAGAGAGTTCACAAATACTTTTCTTCCCAATGTAGAATTTATCAGTCAGGATTCAACAAAGAAAAGTGAAAAAACCATGAAGACCATTTAATACAGGAAATTAGAAAAACAGGAAAAAAAAAAACCCTGAAATACAAAAGAGAGTAATGCAGAAATACAGACTTAGGAACTACAGGAAGAAGCTACTACACCAAGGTCTAAGGAAAGAGGTATGAGAAAAATGTTGAGTTTATTAAGGTGTAGTGATCTGGATTGATCCTTATTGGAGGAATGTAACAATGAAACCAAATATAGAAGGATGAATTTGGAGAGGCAAGACACCAGGTTACCAACAAGGACATATGACCAACGTTATGGTGTACAGGGCACAGATGGTTCATTGGTAGAATTCTCCCATTCCCAGTGCAAGACCAGGTATGATTCCCAACCAGTGTACTTCATATGCACACACCATCTGTCAGTGGAAGCTTGTGTGTTGCTAAGATGTTGAAAATATTTCAGCACAGGTTCCAGAGTAAGATGGACTCATAAGAAAAGTCCAATGATCTACCTCCAAACATCACCCTCCCACCACAAAAAAAAAAAAAAAAAAAAAAAAATAGGACAAGCACAAATATTCAGCAAATACTAAAACAACAGCAAAAAAGGAAATGATAACCCTGCATGGAGGACAATGGTCTAATTCAAATAAATCATAGGGTTGGAGAATGACTGGGCAACATTTTCTTCTGTTGTGCATGGTGTCACCTTGTGGCGGGGAACCAACACAAAAGCAACAACAACATTATAAAGTTGAAAAAGATGTGAGAAGAAACATCATCAAGAATATTGGGAAAAACCTCTAACCCTTTCTCAAGGTAAATTCTTCCATATCTTTCCTCATGTGAGCTCTGATCTTCAGTATCATCTCAGGAGGAGTAAAAACCACACAAAAAAATACAGTCATCTGTGAAGGAAAAGTCTAAAAAGATAAGTACTTGTCTGCCTTGGCTGAACATTAAAACCACCTGTGGTTCTTTACAAATCTTATGCTGAAGACACATGCCATTGTAATTGAATCAGAGTTTGTAGTGATGGAACCAATACAACATTAAAAAAAAAAATCCCAGATGATTCCAATATGAAGATATGAAGTGAAGGTTCAAGACCAGTGACCTGCATTCTCACATGTAACTTGCTTATAGAGTTCTGTTAGATACAAAAGGTAGTCTAAGTAAGAGATACAAATTATGCTAATTATATTCTAAGTACATAAAAGTAGATTTATGCATTTAAAGGGAAGCCTGGGTTATACATGAAAAGCTACAGAAGGTTCTGCAGCTCTAAAGGGATTGGGTCATACAGATTGATGTATCCCAGAATATTCCCACGATCCCATTAAAGATGTAACAGAAGAAGAAATGATCAGATATGGAAACTATGAGATGTACAATTATTTTACCAAAGATTTCTGGTTGAAAATGTTGAATTTTGCCATCTTTTCCAACCCACATATCGAAAAAGATTGCACGTGTAGAGATCAGGCTATTCTGCTAAGGAGTCTTCCCAAGGTTCTCTTGATGTCCCTGTTCCTCAAGCTGTAGATGAAGGGATTCAGCATCGGGGTAAGCACAGTATACATCACTGAGTCCACTGCCCCCTTCCTGGCAGAAGATGAGACAGATGAAGTGAGGTACACTCCAAGGCCTGTTCCATAAAATAAGCAAACAACTGACAGGTGAGAGCCACAGGTGGAAAAAGCTTTATACTTCCCACCTGACGATGAGACTCTCAAAACGGAGGAAACAATTTGTACATAGGAGAAAAGGATTCCTAATAGTGGAACACCACCAAATATGGCACAAATACAGCGTAATAATATGGCATTGGTGGAGGTGTCAGAACAGGCAAGGTTCAAAAGTTGACGAGACTCACAGAAGAAACTAGGAATTTCCACATTTGCACAAAAGGTAATTTGTGAGACCAATGAAAGCTGCAGCTGGGAGTACAAAAGGCTAATGAAAAATGATACCAAAACTACTAAGCTACAGAGGTGGGGATTCATGATGACTGTGTACTGCAGAGGGTGACAGATGGCTACAAACCTATCATAAGCCATCACACTGAGGAGTAGACTGTCCAGACATCCAAAGAGATTAAAAAATGACACTTGTGCTAGGCAGCCTACATAAGTGATGGATTTGCTCTGTGTCTGGACATTCACAAGCATCTTGGGGACTGTGGTAGAGATGAAGCCGATGTCTGTCAAGGACAGGTTGGAGAGGAAGAAGTACATGGGTATGTGGAGGTGGAAGTCAAAGGTGACGGCCAGGATGATGAGCAGGTTCCCAGCCACAGTGATCAGGTACATAGACAGGAACAGCCCAAAGAGGAGAGGCTGCAGTTCTGGATCCTGAGAAAGGCCCATAAGGAAGAATTCTGAGACAGCTGTTAGATTCTGGGGCTCCATGTACCTGAGACAGCTTATGGAAAAAGGAAAAGAAGATTGATAACAGAAAACAAGAGAAGAAGCACCCAGGATTGTGTCTGTGTTTTGAACTCAAGAATTTCACAAGTAAAGCATGCAAATTCACAGGTGCTCACACTTGAGGACCTCAGTATTTTCAGCAATATTACTTGGTTGTAGCAAACTCAACCACTTTACTTCTAAAAACTCTTTACCTATTGTTTCTGTGCTGTTCATCTGTTTCTGCACACACTCACTTTAGAGACACTGAGGTAAAGAACGTTAGAATGGCACGGGCATTTTAACAAATCCATGTTGTTGTTGTTGTTAGGTGCTGTCACGGTGGCTCCAAATCATAGTGATTCTAGGTACAACAGAAGGAAACCCTGCCTGATCCTGCACCATCCTAACAATACCTGCTGTGTTTAACCCATCACGGCTGTCACTGTGTCAATCCATCTCATTGAAGGTCTTATTTTTCACTGATACTCCGCCTTACCAAGCATGACATCCTTCTCCAGGGACTGTGCCTTCTGAGCATTCTGGCTGTACTTCCTCCAACACAAATTTGTTCATTCTTCTGGCAGTCCATGACATAGTCTATATTCTTAGCCAATACCATAAAGGAAAGGGACCTCTGGTGGAATAATGCCTAAGGCATTTCACTGCTTACCAGAAGGCTGGCAGTTGAAACCCACCAGCCACTCCTTGGAAGGAAGATTGGGAAATCCACTTCTGTAGAAATACTGCCTTGGAAACCCAAAGAGGGATCGCTGTGAGTGAGGATCAACTTGAGGGCAGGGAGTTTGGTTTTGGGTACCACAATTCTAATGCATCAATTCTTCTTCAGTGTTCCTTTATTCATCCCTTTACTCATATTCATTAACGTACATGTGAGGATTTTGAAAATATCATAGCCTCGGTCAGGTGCACCTTAGTCTCTAAAGTGACATATTTTCTCCATCACATTTTTAAGAGGTATTTTGCAGAATATTTGGCCAGCTCAAGATGTCATCTGATTTCTTGACTAATGCTTCCATAGGTGTTGATTGTGGATCCAAGAAAAACGAAATTCCTGACAATTTCATTAATTTTCCATTTATCATGTTGTTGGTTATTGGTCCGTTTGTGAGGTTTTACGTTTTCTTTATGTTGAGATGCAATCCATACAGAAGGCTGTAATCTTTGATCTTCATCAGTAAGTGCTTCGGGTCAGCTTAACTCTCAGCAAGCAAGGTTTTGTTATCAGCACATCACAGATTGTTAATGAGTCTTCCTCCAATCCTGATTTTGTGTTCTTCATGTAGTCCAGCTTCTTAGATGATTTACTCCGCATATAAATTGAATAAATATGATGAAAGGATACGACTTTGACACACACCTTTCCTGATTATCAACTACGCAGTACACCCTTGTTCCGTTTGAACTACTGCCTCTTGGTCTATGTACAGGTTCCTCATTAGCACAAGTAAGTGTTCTGAAATTCCCATTCTTCCCAATGTTATCCATAATTTGTTGTGATCCACACAGTCAAATGTCTTTGTATAGTTAATAAAATATATGCAAACATCTTTGGGGTAGTCTTTGATTTCAGTCAAGATCAATCTGACATCAGCAATGATATCTGTCCTTACATCCCTCTTCTTAACCTAGCTCAAATTTCTGACAGTTCCCTGAAGATGTACTGCTGCGATCATTTTTGAGTTATCTTCAGCAAATTCTACTTACATATGATATTAATGATATTATTTGATAATTTATCCATTATGTTGGAAGTATCCACATAAATCCATAGAATGAGCAATGTATACAAATCCATAGTAGGATCATATATTGGCTTCCTCTATAAGGAAAACATGTTGTTGTTGTTTGCTGTCGAGTTGGCCCCAACTCACAGCGACCCCTCCTTGGGTTTCTGAGGCAGTATCGCTACGGAAATAGGATTGCCCAACCTTCCTTCCAAGGAGTGGCTGGTGGGTTTGAACTACCAGCCTTCTGGCTAGCAGTCAAGTGCCTTAGACACATAGGCAATAAGAAATATCCTGATTTTAAGAAATAAATAATTTCAATTAAAGGACCCTAAGGGAGCTCTAGTAGCATAGTGGCTGAGGCACTTGACTGCTAACCAGAAAGCTGGCAGTTCTAACCCCCCAGGCACTCCTCAGAAGGAAGATAGGGCAATCTACTTCCATAGTGATACCACCTCAGAAAACGAAGGAGGGGTCATTTTGAGTCAAGTCCGACTTGACAGCACATAACAACAACAAGCAATCCGAGGTAGGCCAGAATTAACTCACTCGGCTCCTATTTAAAAGTTTGGAGTCCACCCAGAGGCACTTCGGAAAAGAGGTCTCGTGATGTATTTCAAAAAAATCACTCTTTGAAAACCCTATTGTCCACAGTCCTACTCTGACACACAGGTGTGGCCATGAGTTAGAATCTACTCAGTGGCAACTGGTTCTTTTTAAGTAGTAAAGTGTACTTGACTTTATCCAAGTACAGTGCAAGAAAGTCCTTTGATTTGGAATATTTATAAAACAACCAAAAAGGGATAGAACTACATTTAAAAAATAAAAAGAAAACACCATATAAAGTGCCTGTCAAGTTTATTCCAACTCATGGTGGCCACATGTGTTACCGAATAGAACAGCTCTGTAGGATTTTCTTGGCCTTGATCTTTAAAACAGAAAATCACTTCATAAAGTACTGAATGGAGGGTTTAAACCAAGAAAATTTGTATCAATGTTTGAGCTCAAACCAGTTCCTTCACAAAAAGAACTCATTCAACTGAATTTTAAATAAAATAAAATGTTCATCATCAGAGAGGGTGTTTGTATGTCAATAACAATCATCAGGTTTTCACCAGTCTTTGGTTTTCTAACATCCATCTTACATGGTGATATATGGTCATTGCAAATGTGTGGGTTTCCTTTTAAATCTCTTAAACTGTATATCCTCTCCCCTGGCTTTAATGGACATAAAAATTTCATAACCATATGTTTGCTAAATGCACAAAATCATACAGCATTGCTGGTTCTGAAGAGGGCATTCATGTCAAATGCACCAATGATTAAATTATAATTTACTTTTTATCTAAATATGCTGTAGTTTTTCACCATATGCAGTGTTATTTGCACTGTTGCTACACTATCTCAGAGAAATGTGGGGTGTTCAGTTAGCTTTTTCCTTTGTTAGTTTCTATTCTACATTGACTTGATAAAACTTAATTTTCTTAAAATAATGTTTAGTTTGTGAGAAATTTCTGTTTATCTTCATATTTCTTATCCTAAATGTTTGGAAAGTGTTGATTCTGTATCAAATCAACTCACTGATGATTGAAGAAATTAGGACCAGAGCAATTCTAAAACCATGTGTGAAACCCAGCCACCTTAAGTGGCTTTCAAAGTCAATCCTTCCTTATCAGTGGGATTGGAATTGTCATTTCAGCTTCCTGAGGGTAACTCATTTCTTCATTTTTTTTTTCCTTTTGGTTAGGTCCAATTTGATTTAATTTGGGAAAACATAAAAGTGAAAAGGACTGAGGATAATATGAAATAACACATTGATAATTGTGCATTTGTTGAAATATGTTTATTAATTAACCTTAATATGTAGGTTGGGAGCTCTGGTAGCATAGTGGCTAAGACATTTGCCTGCTAACCAGACGGCTGGCGGTTCAAACCCACCAGCCACTCCTCGGAAGGAAGGTTGGGCAATCCTACTTCCGTAGTGATACTGCCTCGGAAACCCAAGGAGAGGTCACTATGAGTCAGGGCTGACTCGACGGCACATAGCATAACATAATATGTAGGTTTGTATAGTGTCAGTATAAGAATTTGACTCTACAGATTCAATTGGGACTGAGTGCATATAACTCTTTGGTATGTTCTGTGATTCTGCTCATAATGATGTGCTCTATTTTGATCTTTGTAGCTGTTTAAAATATGGTGGTTTTTCTCCTATTAATTTTAGAAGTTAAGTGCTTTCCATAAGACCTATTCATTTGTGTCTAGGTATGTTTTTATAGAATTGTTATTACTTTTGGCTTCATTTTTCAACGATGTATTTAATGAAATTATGGCTAAAATTAAGTTTATTGAGAAAACTTTGGATTATTCTCAGCTGATTCTAAAATTTAGGGTTTCTTTGTGTAGATTCTTGATAATCTTCAATCAAGAGCCAATAGAGGAAACTTAATTTTGGTAAATTAATGTTTATTTTCTCAGAAGTGTCTTTATCTTCATTTTGCACAAATGAGACAAACTATTCTCTTTTTGTGAATAAGAACCTTTCACATTTAGATAAAATTTAGAAAAATACTCTAGATAAGAATGAAATAATTTGGGTGAATCATGAAAGTAAATTAAAGTTAATTAAACTAAACTTCAGTTTCATAAGTATATTAAGGCATTTATCCAGAGTTTCAAAGAAAACTATTAAAATAGATGTATCACAATAATTAATATCAAAATAACTTTGGACGACTTAAAGCATCTCCATTCTTCTTTTACATTTATATATATCAATATATATCAATATATATCTATATATCTACATATCTATATTTCTATATATATAGATATAGATATAGATATGAGCTCTGGTAGCTTAGTGCCTAAGGCACTTGACTGCTAACCAGAAGGCTGGCGGTTCAAACCCAGCCACTCCTCGGAAGGAAGGTTGGGCAATCTACTTCCATAGTGGTACTGCCTTGGCAACCCAAAGAGAGGTTGCTATGGGTCGGGTCCAACTCGATGGCACATAACAACAACCACATATATATTTATACATTTACATAGATAGATAAATTGGCAAAGGGCTGGATGAGACTAAGTACTAAGATTTAATGTCTGTCAGGAAAACAATTAGGATTGTCATTTTAAAGAGTACATTTTGTGAAGTTGTGTATTTACAAAAATGGAATCTAAAAGTGAACTTTTAGAAAGACAGTAAGTCAGACACAACTACATGCTTTAATTGTCAAGGTATGGAATCACAAATAC